GACTAAGTCCCATCGCCGAATGGGACTTAGTCTCTGCAGCTGAAATAATTTCCCATTTACTGAACCAAGTGGGAAATAGCCAGACAGGCACAAAGGGTTTGCACCAGGTCTGGGGACACAGGGGGCACCGTATTAAAGGGGCCGTGTCCCCAACAAGTCTGGGGACACGGCCTTAAAGGGGCAGTGTCCCAATCTTCCTGATGTCCCCAAAAAGGTGTTTAAAGGGCCAGCACCAGTCACATAAAGAGTCCATAAGCCCCAATATGCCCACCGACAGTCTTAAAGGGCCATACACAAATAAAAGTGCATACATTTTCACAATCTCCCAGGGGCCATAGTCATGCGGGAGGAGGCTGGCAAATAGGCTTCTCCACAACCCAGGGAAGCAGGGCAATTTGCCATTTAAAGGGCCCGTTACAAATAGCAGTTTGTAACAAGGTGTCAATCCATATCTGCCAAGTGACCCGATGTGGGGGGAACAGTCCCTATTCTGCTCTGTGTCAGTGTGTATCAGGGTCCTTAGGACAGGTGTCAATCCATATCTGCCAAGTGACCCTATGTAGGGGACCAGTCTCTATTCTGCTCTGTGTCCGTGTGCATCAGGGCTCTGAGGACAGGTGTCAATCCATATGTCAAGGTGTCAATATGTCATATGTCAGGTGTCAATCCATATTGATTGTGATTTAGGAATGTTAGGTGATTTCTGCCCTTTATGGATTAAAACCAGACTCTGTATCAACTGTGTAATTTTCCATGGGAGTTTTGCCATGGATCCCCCTCCGGCATGCCACAGTCCAGGTGTTAGTCCCCTTGAAACAACTTTTCCATCCCTATTGTGGCCAGAAAGAGTCCCTGTGTGTTTTAAAATTCGCCTCCCCATTGAAGTCAATGGCGTTTCGGGCGGTTCGCCGGTTCGCGAACATTTGCGGAAGTTCGCGTTCGCCGTTCGCGAACCGAAAATTTCGGGTTTGCGACATCACTAATCTACATCTGTGGACAACCCTTGTTGGAGGCGCCTTTCAAACGGGCACTGCAGGAAATCATCAAGTGCAAGATACTTCTGGTTATGTCTCTACTACAGAGTCTCAGATGCACCACAAAGCCATGCCAACGCGTTTTATGGGAGGAAGGGTAGCAGTGCTGCTTTAAAATGGAGACATTACATACTGCTTATCCTCTGTCACACCATAAATCACTTCAAAAAGAGCAACAATCTTAAACAGCCCATATTCTTTTAAAGCACTTAATTTTCCAAAAAGAGGCTTTCTCCTGACAACCCTTCCAAACAAACGTGTTAAGTCTTTTTCTGATTATACTGTCATGAACTTTAGCACTTGACATGATAACTGAGGCCTGTAACATTTGAAATGTAACTCTTGGGTTTTTGCAATTTCTCTGAGCATTGCACGGTCTGTCCTTGGGGTGAATTTGCTGGGACATCCACTCCTGGGAAGATTGGCAACAGTCTTGATGGTCGTGAATGTTTTCCACTTTTGAATAATCTTTATCACTGTAAAATGATGGACTTTAAATTGTTTGGAAACGGCCTTATAACCCTTCCTAGTTCGATGGGCAGCTACTTATCCTCTTAAATCCCATCAAAGTAGTAAGGTATACTTTTACTTTTTATGTTTAAAATATGAATGTATAAATGTGAGTTTAGTGTGCATAGAGAGTTCTGTGTAGACTTCAATAGAGAGTTTTGCACTATGTATATTCTTTTATTATAAGAAACAATATTTTTGAATATAAAATGCTGGGGGTTTTTTTCATGAATTTTTGTGAGTTGGTTATTTGATAATGGTTTGTTCTTTTAGTCTATGGTATCTTTCTTTTAAATGTAGGGTGTACACTGTTTTGCTTAATGTAGATGATGAGAAGAGTCTTCAGCATGGAAGTGGATAAGTGCAGGGTAACCACATGCCCCCTGGTGTTGAGCACCAGCGATTGTGTGGCCACTTACCAAGACCCTGATGCAGCTTAGTGGAAGCCAGAGCAGATGAATTGCTAATATGTATCCAGTACTAGAAACAAGGTAAGACTACAATAGGCACCAAACAAGAAAACAAGACAATACTAGAAGAACCCAGAACCGGAGAAGGACAAAAAGCAGAACCCTGAACATGTACACAATACATAAAGGAAACATTAACATAACATGGGCAGGACAAGACAGGACTGTACATGGACTGGGAAAACAAGAAATATAAGACACAACAAGAGGAGACATAACCAAGTACTTTTTATGTAAAACATGTATGCAGCCCACCACTGCGCCAAAGTACTCCAAGTACGGTGGGTCCTAACTGCCTAGATATGCATGACTAAATAAACAACAATTTAACACACACAGTACTTACCTGCAAAGAAAGGGGCAGAGGACATGAAACAACTGCCTGCAGGAACCAACTGAAACAAAAGGAAAATGGAAAAGAATGGGTGTGGCAACATAAAACAAACATTTAAAGGAATCCAGGAGACTGGGTATTCCAGGAATGGAATAAAGGAATGAACCCAGAAACCCAGCATAAAGAAAACCAGACATAGAATAGAAACTCAGAAAAACCAAGAAAAAACAAACAAGAATTGTAAAAAGAGTACTGGATACCAGAAGCCATGGTCAGACATCAGAACAGAACAGAGCAGTTCCTGACAGGAATTCAGGAAAGGGGGAACTTTGCCCACAATTCAAGGTAAGTTATTGCTTTATTTTATATGGTTTTTAATCAAAAAACAGGGGAGAACATACATAATAGGGCCTAATAGAGCCTTATAAATTAAAAAAGTAAAGGTAAAAAAGGTCTACAGTAACTCTTTAACAAAAAGTATATGATATCTACAAATATAATCAATCATACAAAAATGTCTATTTCCTTACTAAAATAAGAAAAACAAATTTAAACAATAGAAACAACCCATTATTCAATTACTTATTTAGTAAAATGGGTGAATAAAGAAGGTTAGTCGATTCTTGTCTATTCTTTTTTCATTTATTATGCTTGATTGCAGATAGTTATGAATGAATACAACTCTAGCATCACATTTTAGACATGTGTGGCTTTTTATTAAAAGTGCATTTAAAAAAAAAAAAAATCATAGTTCAGGCATCTGATATTAGGACCACAGCAGACAGCAATATATTGGAAACAAGTGTTGACAGAATTTTAAAATGCACACAGAATACAATTATATGGAGAATCTAGATAGTTTACTAACTTGTTCAATAGAATACGTAATAAAGAGGAAAGTCATGTTTTATGTTCAATTATCATGTAGTATTTGTTAGCTCCTTTGTAACATAATTATTTTAGATTGCTGGCCTCCCCTAACATCCACCCATGTTCTGTCAGCACTCTTGACACTTCCCAAGCAAGACAAATATATATTTTGGTTCATATAGTAATATGTGTATTTTATGCATTTTCTTAAAATATAGTATTAGTTGTGATAATTGGGAATAATGCTACATTGTGTCCATACGTAATATATATATAGCATGTCATATTCTAGGATATATATATATATATATATATATATTAAACAAAATTATAAATGCAACACTTTTGTATTTGCCCCCATTTGTCCTGAGCTGAACTCAAAGATCTAAGACTTTCTCTTATTTCACTTATCTCTAAATTATTGCTCACAAATCTGTCTAAATCTGTGTTAGTGAGCACTTCTCCTTTGCCGAGATAATCCATCAACCTCACTGGTGTGGCATATCAAGATGCTGATTAGACAGCATGATTATTGCACAGGTGTGTTTTAGGCTGGCCACAATAAAAGGCCACTCTAAAATGTGCAGTTTTACTGTATTGGGGGAGTCCAGGTGGGTCCGAAAACCAGCCAGTATCTGGTGTGACCACCATTTGCCTCATGCAGTGCAACACATGTCCTTTGCATAGAGTTGATCAGGTTGTTAATTGTGACCTGTGTAATGTTGGTCCACTCCTCTTCAATGGCTGTGCGAAGTTGCTGGATATTGGCAGGTCCTGGAAACCCGCTGTCGTATACGCCGATCCAGAGCATCCCAAACATGCTCAATGGGTGACATGTCCGGTGAGTATGCTGGCCATGCAAGAACTGGGATGTTTTCAGC